CATTTTCCCTGTGATAGAACTATTGCTCTCCTGTGTTTCCCCCAGTTTTGTTTGGGAAATGCTGGTTTTCAATAGACCTGCAATGATCATTTAACGCTGAATATACATAATGACAAAAGTATAATTTGATTTGTTTCAACTATCAGTAGGACAAATAAAACTACAACTTATGTTACAGATGTTTATCATTCTCTTTTCATTTATTGTTGAGAAAAATTTGTATTTAGAATTAGACAGCTGGACTCAGTTTAGGTGATCCCAACATCCAAAGCATCATAGTCAGGAGCAAGTCGAACACAGGCCTTCTTCTCTCCATCAGGCCTAATCAAAGTGTTGACCTTAGCCACATCAATGTCATAGAGCTTCTTTACAGCTTGTTTAATTTGGTGCTTGTTGGCCTTGACATCCACAATGAACACAAGTGTATTTTGTTATCTTCTTCATCGCTGACTCAGTGACCAGGGGAAATTTGATGATGTCATTACCATTGGCAAAATCAGCATATGCGGTCTCACCCAGAATTCAACTTTGTGCTACCTGGGCTCACAACTGTGTGTGGTCAAACTGCGGGCGCTTTTCTGGGGGTACTTGGGCTGCCTTCAGAGTCTCAGCATCTTAGGCCACCAGAAGGTAGGTGACTTGAGGATCCTCTTTTTTTTTTTTTTTTTTGGCTGCAGATGCCCTTCAGGACTGCCTTCTTGGCTCTTATTGCCTTTGTTCTGGCTTCAGTTTTGGGAGGGGCAGAGGCATCCTTCTTCGCTTTTAGTGGCATCTTCATAGAAAAGCTATCATTATCTTTTAATATGTCTTTTCCTATATGTACTTCCTCCCATGCTCCACTTAAGATAACTTAGGGTCAACCTATTCAGTTAAGTAACTTCCACACACAAGTGTGAGCCCAGGTAGCACAATGTTGAATTCTAGGTAGGACAGCATATGCTGATTTTGTCAATGGCAAATTTACTTGAGTAAATCTCACTGCTATCTTATATCTAGAATTTATAAAATACTTGAGAACCAGAACAAGATAAAGGTAAATAATCCTATTGAAAAATGGGCACAGGATATGAACTTCACCAAAGAAGACATTCAGATGGCCAACAAGCACATGAAGAAATGTTCAAAATCCCTAGTTCTAAGAGAGATGCAAATCAAAACAACTATATCATCTCACCACAGTCAAAATAGCAAAATTTAACACAACAGCAAGCAACAAATGCTGGTGAGGTTGTGGAGAAACTGGAAACCTTATTCACTGTTGGTGGAGTGTAAAATGGTGCAACCACTGTGGAAAGTGGTGTGGCGCTTTCTCAAAAAGTTGCAAATAGAGATACCATTTGACCCTGCAATTCCACTACTGGGAATATATCCTAAAGAGACCATAACCGCCATCCAAGCAGATAAATACACACCCATGTTTATTGCGGCTTTGTTCACAATAGCAAGAAGCTGGAAACAACCTAAGTGCCCATCAACAAACGAATGAAGAAGCTGTGATATATTCATATTATGGAATACTAAGCTGCACTGAAAAAGAAGGAACTCATGCAGTATCACTCAAAATGGGTGACCGTGGAGGACATTATGCTGAGTAAAACATCTGTCACAAAAAGACAAATACTGCATAGTTCCATTGTTGTAGAATGGGACTGACATCAGGGTTGGGGTAAGACTGAGAAAAATTGGATAGATTATGTATATTGCATTGAAACAGATGAGGGAGAGAATAGTTTACAAGCAATATATGATAGGGTACTATGATTATCACAGGAATCCAGAATTAAGGTTGCATAGTTGAGTGCACTGGGGGGTGGGGGGGCGGGGGGGGTGACTATGTCAACAAAGAAGTTTATGTTTTGCTTTTCGAAGAGAAGAGTAAACTGGGGAGGGGGGTAGAGAATAATGTGCAATAGTGAATGAATGAAATCCAAAAATCTCTGTAAATGTCCTGTCCACTAAAATTAATAAAATAAAATATAAAAAAAAACTCACTGCTATCAAGTTGGAACCAATTTATAGCCTTAGGTTGTCAAAACTATAAATTACATGGAAGGAGACTGCCCATCTTTCTCAAGAATCTCAGGTATGTCAGAGAAATATTATACTTGTTAAAACAGATCTCCTAATTCCCAACTACTGAACTTTTCAGGGCATCTCCAGGAAGTTTCTGATTGCTTCTTTTAATCTCTCTGAAACCATAAAGCAAGGTTTAAGTTCATCCTGCCCTTAAGGAAATGGAATCTCTGGTTAATCTGCAACTAGGAATCACTGTTTGAAGAGGCAATATTCAACCTATGTCACTAATCTATTTGTGAGGTGTAAACACAAGTTTCTTTAACAATCAAAAATCCTTGCTTAAGTTTGTGAAATTTCAGCCTTTTGTTCTTAACATAGATTAAAAATAGCCTTAAAAACTAGTTTATTATGTTCTTTAACTAGTTCTTTTCAAGGCACATAGTATCAGATTCTAAAATCCATGTAAATAAGCTGTGCTTTAACACAGCAGTACTCTGTATGCATAACTACACCACAAGTATGTAATAATGAATACATCAGTGCAACTTCCTTTCTTTTACTGAAACTCCAAACAAGAGCAGTCCTTAACCAAAAAGGAAACCTGAAGATGTTCAGAAGTTGGAAAAAGTGTCTCAATAAAATAAGGTTAACCAAGTGAGGAAGGTAAAGGAGGCATTACTGAAATTAAACAGAAATGGAAAATAAATGTGTACACTCTGAGTGCAACTCTACCAAGCACAAAGGAGAAATACTAAGATCTTTTAACTTCTGCATGCATACTGCCTAAAGGTGTACTACAACATCAAGCAAATAAAAACTGAGACTTCTTCAAACTGCTCTTAGTTTCAACCAATGATACCCTAAATGTTCCTTTTCTAGAAAAAGACTACTCTATTTTCTAGAAAAAGATAATTAATGTGCTTATCCTTTGGCATCACTTTTGGGATGGTTTTAGTAAACTTGAAACCCAAGAACACAAGCTCTGTGTCACTAGTAATACTTTTAGGGTTGGTTCTTCATTTTGTTTCCTGTGACAGAAAACCAATTCGAAAATAGGTGTGAGTTCTTGAATGGGGGCAGGTTAAGGCAGAAAGGTGGCCTAGCACGAACGATCTATGGTGTCAACCCAAAGGCATGCTGCAGTTCAAACCCACTAGCTGCTCCATGGGCGAAAGATGGGCAAACTTCTCAGTAGCGATTTACCGTCTCTGAAAGTACGCTGGAGGGTCAGTTCTGACCCCATGGTACACAACAAGAAAAGGAGAAACAGGTTCTGCAGGCTCCGCACAAAGCCAGAGAAGACTTACAGGCTGGGAACACAAAGATGGGCAAGTTCCTCTCTCGATTCCCAGACGCTGTAGGGTCAGTTCCAAACCCCCAGGCATCTATTCTCAGCAGCCTCACAGAGCGGTTTCCACGGCCGCCTGCACAAATCTTGTCCGAGGACATCCTGTCAGCATTCTGCATTCGCTTTCCCGAGGGCAGGCAGGACAACTGGTTATAGGACAGTACTCCGTGCGAGGAGGGCCAGCACTTTGACCATGCACCTCAACCTGAGGTACGTTTTCGCAGTCAACCCTTGGGACAACAAAGGGAGTCGCTGGCAATTCAGAAACGAGAGCAGTTTAGATGACTGCAAACTATACAGGAAGCAAAAGAACCAAGCAGAGGGGCAGGAAGGCACGTCACGGTTCTGGACTAAGGCTTTTCATTGGAAGGAGTACGAGGGCTGGAGGATAGGAGAGACCTCAAGAAAAGAATACACTGCTGTTGAGATTGTAAGGCAGTTTGACACTTCCTCAAAATGCTCAACATAGAAATTCCATATGACCCAGCTATTCCAAAGCCTTGGAATATACCCTGAGAAAATGAGAACTGAAGCACAAACGGAGACTTGTACACCAATGTTCATAGCAGCGTTATTCACCATCGCAAGAACATGTAAACAGCCCTAATGTCCAGCCACAATCAAATGGATTTAAAAATTGTGGAACAGGCACATTATGGAATATTACGCAGCACGCAAGAGTAATGATTTTATAAATTGCTACCTAACTTGGGACGAACTGGAGAGCGCTATGCTGAGTAAACTAATTCAGTCGGACAAGGACACATTCTGTATAAAACCATTATTGTAGAACGAGTACAAAGATCCAAGAAGGGAAGGCGGGGGGAGTTTAATCATAGGGTCACGCAATTCGATGGGTGCAGGGAGGAGTGGGTAAAAGAAAGAGGAAAGATCTGGTGTGAAAAACAATGTATACTTTATGAACGTTGTAAGTAAACTTGCATAAAATAATAAAAAAAAAATTAAAAAGTATTCTGAAGAAAGTCGGAAGCCAAGGTGCTCCAGCAATCCCCGGGAGAGGACAGGGCAGGAGGCAAAGCAGCGGCCAGAGTCAGTAGACCCGGGCATTCTCCAAGGAGGATAGGTAAGCAACAGAGTGGGGACGCGATCCAGTCTCTCAAGGGACGAGCTGGCACTGAGAGAGCGGCTGCCAGGTGGTACCAGACCCGTGGCGAGAAAGCTCGGGCTGAGCATTTCTGAGGCATCGCTTTGACAAGGGCTGGGAAACGTTGCTGAGAAGAATCAACTCCCAGGGGAGAAACGGATTCCCAAGGCAGTGCGTACAAAAAAACGAAAAGCAGGGACGCGCGGGAAACACTGAAGCCCTGAGACAGTCTCAATCCCCAACCCTACTCCCCACACTCACCGAGCTCTGGCCAGACACTGCCCTTCCAGCTGCGGCGACCCGCCCGCCCAACGGCACTGTGCGTACAACGCCCACGTGATTCGCTGCGTGCACCGCCACGTCGCCCACGTGATTCACAGCGTGCTCCGCCCCTTACTCTACGTCACTTGCCGCGTGCTCCGCCTCGCCACCGGGTGGTTCACCGCCTACTCAGTCCCATCCCCACGTGACCTGCTTGCCCCGCCCTCCCCAGCTTCTTCCTTATGTGTTCCACCACCTCCTCGAAACAAGATGGTGGCTCCCACTGGTTGTTCGTCGGCCTTCCGGGTCAAGACTTCCTACAAGCGTCTGGGATCCATTCTCACTCTCGACTTGAAGCTCTTTTCTTCCGCCACCATTACTTCTAGGCCTTTGGATGCCCAGCGATTAGCAGAGAGGCTTCGTGCCCAGAAAGGGGATCAAAAGAAAGTGCCGGTGAGTCCGGAAACGACTATAACTTCCGGGAGATGGTAGGCTCTTTGTTTTTTCCGGCGGGGATGGAGGAGGATGTGAATGTGGACGTGTGGTGGAAAAAAGGCAGAAGGCAATAAGGTGGACACATCCTGTTCTCAACTCGCTCGAGAAAGGACCGAATTTAATGCAGAAATACGGTCGTTCTCTTCGTACATTGTCACCCACACTTTATTGCAGGCACTCCTCTGTGATAAGTTGAAAAGAAAATCTCAGGTGTCTACAAACCCTGTTCAGCGGAGGGTGAGCGAGCTGGTGCGGTTCACACGACAGCTGCAGCAAGTCCATCCCAACGTGCTTGCTAAGGCCCTGCGCCGAGGGATTCTCCACCAGGACAAGGACCTAGTGATTGTCAACAAGCCCTACGGTGTACCTGTGCATGGTAAGAACCCTGTGCGAAAGGAAGGGGCCGGCCTGCGACGTTGCTTTTTCGTGCCGTGCTCTCAAAATTTGTTAAACATATTGAGAGAAATATCCTGTATATCTCTGTGGTCGGAGCACACAGGTGAATAAGAAAACCCGTTTTCCTCAGTCAGTTTTAAATATTGAATTCCATGCACTGCCTGTCGTGAAATGGATGGTAGTGAATACCAGAGGGACTCCAAAGCTGACTATGCTTTGCCTGCAGGTTATTTTCTACACTACAATAATAAAAAAGTGTGTAGAATATATACCACCAAGCTTCAGTATCTGTTAGCTTAATGGACACTTGAATAAATGTTAAATAGATGGCAGAAGTGGGTGACATGAGATAAAAGAGATTGATATTTGAAGATGCGTTTGGGAAAGGAAGAAAAAGTACATTTTAAGTAGAAAATGCATATTGGGGAGGTATGGAAAAGATTTAAGTGTAAAGCAAAAAAAAAAAAAAATCTAATGAAACTAAGTGTGTTGTGTGAGTTTTTCTCTTAATCTGCACAACAGTTTCTTGCCTTCTCATAGCCCATAAGGTAGTTATCCTCTAGATATTCGCATTTTATAGATTTCATTTACACGTTAGAGAAAATGGAATTGGACCAGACAAAATTTCACAAAATGGCTTGGTGGAAGCATAAAGAAAGAGGAACTCAGAAATTTCTAACCCTGAAGTTCTTTCCTAATGGATTAGGAGGGTCTGTTCACTAAGGTTTACTATAAATTCTCAAGCCTATGGTTTTATCATGTAGTTATCAGACTTCCCCATTTTGATTATTAATTCTAAGATGAGACTATAGGTTGAGTTTTGTATGTATGAAAAAGAGAAAGCCATGTTTCGGCGGCAGGTCTTGGAAAGGGGCGGCCGGCGCCATGTCTGGCCGCGAAGGTGGTAAGAAGCAGCCCCTGAAGCAGACCAAGGAGATGGACGAAGAAGATAAGGCTTTCAAGTAGAAACAAAAAGAACAGAAGAAATTCGAGGAACTAAAAGCAAAGGCCGAGGACAAAGGTCCCCTAGCCATCGGTGGAATTAAGAAATCTGGCAAAAAATAAGACTGAGGCAATAATGAACCTTACTTCCTTTTTTTTTTTAACATCTGGATTCTCTGCTGTAACATCTTTTACCACCTGTAGTTAAAATGAAGTGTTGTCTTGGAGCCTGTTGTACATTTAAGAGGAAACTTTGTGAAACAGTGAAGAAGAAACCTTATAATGGTCCATCTCCAGTTCTCATTCAGCCATTCCGATCGTAGCTGTGCCGTCAAAGTAAATGGAATCCAGAATCCTGTCAGAATCTTCATTATGCCCAGAATTCTGTACCACCTGGAATTAGACCAACTCAATTGAAAAAGAGAAAGCCACGTGCTCTAGGAAGGGCTTCTCAAATTTTAATTATGAATTGCTCAGGCATTATATTAAAATCACATCCTAATTTAGTGGATTGGTTAGGTGCCTGAGACCTTATTTCTAGCAAACTTCCTAAGTATTTTGATACTTCTAGTCCCTGAAAACAGTCACAAAGCTTAAAAAGAAAGAAAAGAATCCAGAAAGGGATATTTTGTTCTCAAGTAGAATTCTTTGGTGGATTTGTTTCCTAGCTACTTAGAACTCTGGCTTTCCCCTTCGTAGGTGGCCCTGGTGTTCAGCTCTGTATCAGTGATGTACTGCCCATCTTGGCAAAGATGCTGCATGGCCAGAAGGCAGAGCCCCTACATCTGTGTCACCGGCT